CGTAGCGCGCGACGAAAGGCTGAAAATGAGTGTCGTGGATGTCGAAAATTAGCGGCCGAGCACGACGAGTGAGATAGTCCCACGGGCGGGTCGCGTAAAAGTCCTCCACCATTCGCTCCGTCAATAACGATGGGTCCCAGAAGGCCGGAACGGGAGCCGACGTAGTCGGGAAGATCCAGGCACGAGGAGGTAGGTGCTCTACGCGCAAAGCTCGCGCCGTGAGAGACAAGTGGGTGAGATCCCTCAGAGCACGAGGCCAGGCAGCATAACGGCTCCGCGTCCAGTCAGTTCGGTTCTGGAATGGAGAAATGACTGGGGTGAAGAACGGTCGCACAGCAGGTGCAACACCACCAGCCGGTGGAGAGCCCGCTGGCCCCCCGTTATGCGCGCCATCGTCGCTGTCGGAGTTGCTGGAGAACAAACGACCACCGCTCGACGTCACGGGCCCACCACCAGAAGCACGCGAGTGTGCCGAACTCTCGGTCGAATCCGAAACGGCATCCGACTACGGGGGCGTGAGCCGACGCCGTTGACGCGCAGGAGGACGCGCATCAGAATCTGCGCCGGAGGACGCCGGAGATGTCGCGCGAGAGCGCGGCCCAAGACTGGAATCAGCTGTAGGAGAAGAGTAACCACCCGAGTGAGCAGCCGCGCTGTCCGACGCAGTGGTGTCTGCAATCGTCGTAGAACGACGGCTGCGGCGTAGGCGTTGAGCCCCACGACCACCTCGACTGGAAAGCGTATGTCCTCCTGGACCAGTGGCGCGAGACGGAACTGACGATGACGCAGGCGACGCGGTAGTTGGGGGCGACGCCGTGGGCACCGCCGGAGACGTGGGCGTTGTGCATGCTGACGCGCCCGAGGTAGAGGCCGCAGGATCACCCTGCGCCAAAGTTGACGCGGGCACAGCCGGAAACGCGGGCATCGTAGATGCCGAAGCGCCAGCGGTAGAGGTCGCAGGATTGCCCTGCCCTGAAGAGGAGGCTGGCACCATCGTTGATGTCGACGCGCCCACGGTAGAAGCTGCCGAAGAGCTAAGTATCGCAGTTGACGCGGTAGCCGAACGAGAGGCGATCGACGCAGGGAGTCCAGAGAGCGTGGCCGCTGCACGTCCTATCTCGGGGTCGAGGTCGGCCGGATGAGGCGTGGCCGCGTAAGGCGAAGCCTCGACCCGGCTCTACGAGCTGAGTGACATCCAGAGAGCCGCCCACCGAACGCACTAAGAGCTTAGTAGGCCACTCAGTCACCATGTCGCTCAACCGAGTCACGAGAGCGTCGCGGACCACGCGTGCAGACTCTCGACCAGCGCGAGCTTCCCGCAACAGACGGTGCCAAGTCATCGTGCGCTCTGTATACGAGAGATCGGACTGGTCAATTAGACCTCCCAGTCGAGCAATCTCAGCCTGCGAGGCCTGCTGACTCAGTGTGAGGGCGTTCCCAAGCCCGACCGCACGCGCAGTCAGGCGACGCACGCGCTCCTGTGTCTGCTCGCGCCGCCGAGTGGCGGAACGACGAGCATCTACCAACGCGGACCGAAAGATGGCAGCTCGAGACGCGATCGGAAGGACGCTGGCCTGGGCGGAGTCTCGCTGGTGCTCTTCAGCGTGGGTCACTACTAACGCGTTCACGCGCCGGATGTCGTCCTGAACCGGCTGGTTGGCTGCACGCGCGACATCCAGCTCACGGTGGCTGCGATCCAACGAATCCCGAGCGTCATCCAGCTCTGCAGCCGTGGCATCACATACTCTGACTCTCTGCGCGCGCAGAGTCTTGCTCGGAATTGACGGAATAGACGACTCGATTCCGTTCAGACTGAACGGAAGCCTGCGCGGAAGAAAGGTCGGCTCGAAAGCGCGACAACTCATCACCGGTGACGCTAGTCTGGGACGCAGCTGTAGACACTGGAGTAGACGCGAGAGGCGGAGCGGGCACCGACGCCGCGGCAAGCTGCGAGTTTAAACTGGAGATCCGAGCGTTGGCGTGCGCCAGCGCGTTCTAGTACGACGTTGCCTCGTCGGCCGTGGTCTTGCACAAGTTGTTGTACTGCATCCACCACGTGTTCGCTTGGAAGGCTTGATCCCAGAGACCTTGGTTGTCTTCACGTAACTCGCGAAAGATGTGGTCGCGCGTCTCGACCTCGCTGCTGAGGCGGTCCACAGCTTGGAGACCTAAGTTGTAACCTTCGCGTGCGCGGTCTCGCAGCGCGATAAGTTGGTCATGAAGCACGGACGCGTGAGTCGCAAGACCAGCGTTCAGCGCATTGGACAACTCGAGACGATACAAGAGGTTCTGCTATTACCCACTCACCTGGGGAGTACGCGGAAATACCGTCGGGACGGATGTGGTGGAGTGCCTCGGAAATGGCGTGATGGAGTGCAGCAAAAGGTGTGGCAGCCCGATGTGGCAGTTGGCGGCAACGCGGGGCGCGAGTGACGGGAAAAGACCAGAGTGATGGACAGAAAATCTGATCCGGAGTCGAATCAGACGGTCACAAAATGGCGTAGTTCACTATAGTGACCCCGGTCTCGAGACCGGGTTGACCCGTGACACGACCCGGTCCAAAACCCGGACCGACCCGTGCCAGCCCGTGACGCGAGCCCGTGCTAGCCCATCCGAGCTCGGTTCATAACTCAGATCGAGGTACTGCACGGATTAGGGTTGCACTTTGGTATGATGCGGTAGGTAAATCATGCAGGAAGGTAGCCAGTGGATAGGATGGCTAGGATAGGATCAGTCTCCAAAATTCTTGGTCTTACACAAGTCTAAGTCTTCTTCACGCTTCTACGCCTGAAGGCCTTCCTACGCTCGGCAAGCAGAGCCGCCTCGATAAGTGCGCCCCCGACGTTTGGACTGATTGGTGTACTCACCCCCAACACCCCGTGCCTGCAGTGAGGGACACGTAAAACAATACCGTCGAAGCGTCCTCCGATAACAGGTCGCGGGCTACGAAGAACGAGTGGTGGCCCGATAACGCCCCACAACCCCTTGGAAACGCCGGCCCGATATCGCCGCACGACCACGGACAAAACCCCACGACTGAAGGTGAACAAGGCCGGAAGTCGTCGTCAGAACTGACACACGTCTATTAAGACAAACACCGCGACAACAAGGCTATACTCTAGCCACATCTCCACTCAGACCTGAGATACGCTACTACAACTCCCGGGGAAATACCCGACGCAGCCATCGAAGTGTTTGTGCGAGGGCAAGCTTACACGAAAACGTGAGCCCGTTACTCCACACTGAGGATCTTGGATATCTCTACTACAAGGACCCGAGATCCGGGTCCTAACGAGGCATTCCACGCTAGCCTGGCTGTTCAAGTCGCCAGGATTATAGGATCACCTAGGACAATGGTCAGCCCTCCTGGCTCCTGGCCCCGGGGACTCTCGAGATCACGAAATGTACGAAAGGAGACGACGAGATACTGGGGGCGATCGCTGTCAGCATCACACAGAGGTCGAAGATGGACAACGCCTTAACCGCTATCGCCCCTCGGAAAGAATCAAAACACCGGATCCAAACGCCGATACCCACCGTGGATCGAGAAGGGGAATTATGGGTGGTCAGCTTTGATGGATCAGATCGAGTGAAGCGAGGCGGAGGCACGTTCAGCTCGATCGTGCCGAGTCTGCCCGGAAGAAGGGTGGTCAGCGCCAGATCGGGCTATATCGAGAATTTCACCGTGAATGAAACGGAATACAACGGCCTTCTGTTGGAACTCGTCATGCTAGGAGACCTTGATCGTAAACGTCTAGTGATCTGTGGAGATTCCAACCTAGTGATCCAGCAAGTACGGGGTGAGATCGATCGCAAAGCACCCGGGCTGACGCTATTAAAGCGGAAGGTCCTCGATCGTCTGAGTCAATGGAGCGATCATGAGATAGTAAATGGGAAGAGGAACTGGAATGGGCGTGCTGACAGTCTATCGAGTGCCGCTCTGTAACGATGAGGCGGGATCGAGGTCCGAGGAGGCCCCGAGCACCAACAACAGGTCACCCTGAACCGGTTGGACGAGATCCTCATTCCCGAGACCGAGAAACCAGTGGTGCGAGTGGCAGCGGTCACCACCCGATCTTCTCGAGTAATGTCGCCCGTGGGAGTCATGCAAGAAGACCAGGCCCGAGAGATGCGGGTCGATCGGGTCAGGCAGGCTCCGGAGGAGGAAGTCTGGATCACAGGCATGAAGAAGTATCTGAGTGGCTCGATCGCCGACCTCACACAAGCGGACGCAAGATCGTACGGCAAGAGCGCGGCCGACTATGAGGTGGACGAACAGGATCTACTCTTTTACTGCCCGCCGACGCCGAGATCGGGAGACGATCGCGACCGATTGATGAGATTGGTAGTTCCCGAAACGCTACAGTCGGACGTCTTACACCACTATCACGCCACGTTGGAGGGAGGACATCAAGGAGTGGGGCGAACCTACCAGCGGATCAGGGATCACTCCCACTGGAGAGGATTGTATCGGAGCGTTCAGCGATATGTAGGGGAATGCGTGGACTGTGAAACGGGAAAAGGATAACCTGTGATCCGGGGTGAATCACCAGGGAACTTGCAGGCAACAT